AGCTTCTGTGTGGCACACCAGCCCCAGACACTCAGTAAAGGAGGTGAAGAAGGTGCAGAGAGAGACTCCAGCCAATAGCCAGGTGCAGTGGAGTGGGGGAGGTGGCTGTCAGAGGAGGATCAGGTGTCACTGTCAGGTTAACCATTCCCTGGCCCTGCTACCATCACCAAACTAAGGATTTTGGATCCTCACTCACTATACAAAACTGCGGTGACTGTGGAACGAGAGAAGAGTTAACCTGACTCTTGGCAATCGCACCCCGCCTTCACAACAGTCTCTCGCCCTGACTCTACGCCATGTGGCTGGAAGTTCAAGCCATTCCCTCATCCCCCCCGCCTCCCCATTCCAGGGTGCAAATTCTTTTACGTACATCCATTGGCAGATCTAGGAGAGAATTAAGGGAGGTGTAGTCACAGCTCCCTTCAGCTCTGTGCATGTACAGTGAGCTCTGTGAACTCACTAGCTTGTTAGCACATATTTTTTTGCTGAGGCCAAAACTTTTTTACAGCGCTGGAGTCCAGGGGCTGAGTGCTCCTTGCATTTCCCACCATCACCCCCATTTTATCACCAGTTAATTCATCAGCAAGTAAAAAGGGGGACAAATAGTAGTAGTTTTTGCTGTTTGGGCTCTAGAGCAACACAACAGCAGTGGCTCTGGCAGGAGCCCATTCTGACAAGGTGGTGCATCAGCTCATTATGCATGTCCTGCACAGCTCAAGAGGGTGCTATTGTGCCCACCCCAGTCCCTCTGGATCTGCCTTTGGGTTTTCTTCTAGGCAGGAATCCAAGCAGCATTTGGGGAGGGTGTGGGGCTTATTTTGTGGCTTGCCTGCCAAAAAGACCATCACTATATTCAAAGTTAGTAGTAAGTGGACACCCAGGGGAGACACAGGGTCTGAATCTGATCTTGCTTACAGACGTTACACTATTACCAGTCCATTATTTTAAATGGGTATCTTCTGATTCTCACCAGTGTAAGGGAGAGCTGAAGTAGTCCCACAGAACATAGATTCATCACCAGGTATCTTAGAGTTATACACTCCTTTCATTAAGAGGGTAAAACTCATTGTAGGCTTGTTCTTAATTTGTGTTAAACTTAAGACCTTAAAAGGTCTTTTCTGTCAGCTATTTCATGCAAGAGGAAGAGTATAAAAGATTTAAAGATTAATATCTCCTCCAATGCTGTTTCATAGTAAAAGTACTCTTTGTGCAAGGACATTTTAATGATTTCTATAGCCTGCCATAAATTAGTACTTTTGGAATTGATTATGAGTGCTCTTCCCAACTCCAGATCTTTCATCATGCTCCTTGCTGCCACAAACTTCACACTGGCCTGATTTAGTGAAGTGTTTAAGTAAATGCTTACCTTTTAAATACATGACTAATTTCACTTTTCATCAGCAAAGCATTTAAGCATATGCTATAATCTAATTGACTTCAAGGGGACTTCAGTTCCTTCTCGCCATGCTTGGTAGAAAAGAACTGGGTTTAAGCACATGCTTAAAGTCACGTACAAATGTTAAAAAGACATACAAAAAACCATCTACGCTTCTCCCAGAGCCTGATGAAGGGACTTTGATTCCTGAAAGCTTGCAGAAAAGGACAATTTTATTGCCATTTTCCAGTTGGTCTAATAAAAGGTATCATTTTGGAACCAAGAGTTCTAGTTTTTTGTATGTCTTTTTGTCTCAGACCAACACGGCTACCAAGTACACCCCTGAAACATGGAAGATGCCGAATTTCAGCCGATTTTGGAGTTTAAACTTCATTGCAGAACAACAAGAAAGTTTTATTTTGTCTCCCTACCTACCATCTGACACCTTCAGGGAAGGAATTCTACCTGATCAACACATCAAAGAGCTACTCAACACAGCTCACAAAGACACTCATGGACCCAGAGGGACAGACTTCCATCTCCAGCTCCCTCTGTGCAAAAATGAAGTTTATTTCCGACCTATGGGGACTTTTTACCATCTTCTGCCATCTACACTTTTCCCAGAGCCTGACGAAGAGAATTTGATTCCGAAAGCTTGCAAGAAAAGGACAATTTTCTTGCCAGTTTCCAGTTGGTTTAATAAAAGGTATTATTTTGGAACCAAGAGTTCTAGTTTTTTGTATGTCTTTTTGTCTCAGACCAACATGGCTACCAAGTACACCCCTGATACAAATGTTAATGCATTCCTAAAGCAAGGCTTCAAAGTTGTGGGAGGATTTTTCACACAATGGATAATACCCTTCTGCCATTGTTTCTGAGAACAAGTTGGGGATCTCTTTTTTTCTCAGCCACTCCTAAGAGAGGTTTTACATATTTTTTGAACTTTTCAGTCTTAAAGCAGATTTTAATACTGACTTTTCATAACAGTTACATAAGGTATACATATATGATTCCTTTGGTATACATATATGTATTGCTAAGGTATTCATTATCATTCCTTTGAGTCTTCTGAGCTATCTTAAATGAATTTACTGCTTAAAATGTGACCTCATATTTCTCCACTAGGGTTCCTAATTTGAATGTACTTTACAAGAAATGTTTAAAATTATTTTAAAATGAGTAAAATTTGAGTTGATCTAAAATGAAAGTATATTTTATAACTAGTGAGTCAGATAGGATATAGTATTTTTGTTGCTTTCTGTTAAGAGAATTTTCAGAAAGATTCTGTTTCTTATGCCTTAATTTAAATGCTTGCCTATATGTATTTGTAAATTCAAGATGGTTGCATTAACTCATAAGCTTTTGACTTTAATCAGATTTCTCTGAGTGATATTTTCTTTATTTAAATCTGCCTCTTCAAGAGCTTTTATTATACCTGCTAAAAATGTTATAACTCAAATTAGCTTGCTATTTGGGCATATCTGATAAAAGGTGGTTAGAAAAGTGTCTTACTTCCATGTGTTTTGTTTTTCTCTTTAAATTGAACATTATCAAATATCATTGCTACCTGTTTCATGCACGTGCTAAGACATTTTAACAAAAAATAACTCAGACTTGTTTTCTTGAGAAGGAAGTGCATTCTTTATAAAACTCTAAGCTAGATAGTTTGACAAGTACTTTTTCTTTTTGATTTTTGAAATTTTCTTCCCTTAGTTTCTTAGACCCAGACCTTGTTCTGTCCCCTGTCTTCATGTTCATCCGGAGGGCCACTTGGATTATGTCAAGAATAACATTTTTGTTCCTCTTTCATTTGGAGTGTTAATTAATAAATTTAAACTAGACATGACTGTAAATGCTAGTTTAGACATGCCACAAACATTTATTCTGAGATGCATCCTTTAAATAACTAAAATAAATTAATAAACAAATGAATTACATTGATTAAAATGCACACAATACAGTAGCAATATAGCACACAGAAAATATAGGTTAAGAACTAACTCACACATTGCAAACAATTCTTAATGGGGATTAACAATCAAATGAGATTGTTTCTAGTAGGGAATCTCCATGAACTCATACTAGCCCTAACATTATCCAAGGTTTTCCTCAGTAATACAAGTGAATATATAATCATTGCTGATAAAATTTGTGGATGACAGAAAAAATGATAAAATAGTATGGACAAGGCAGTCATACAGAGCAAATTGGGTCACAAGATAATCTCAGCTCAAACAAAATAACTTTTAGTAGACCAAGCTGAAAATGTCTATACCTAAAAGCAAGAAATGCAGGCCATACCTATAAAATGAAGACTGTATTCTGGAAATCAGTGATCTTGAAAAGTTCTTATGGGTTCTGTGGACGTGAGCTTCTGTGTAATGCTGTGTCAAAAGAACTAATGTGAACCATTGACATCTGAAGAGGAGAGAAATGACTAAGAGTAGGGAGACAGTTTTATTTCTGTGTACAAGAATGGTGGTACACGTACTGAAATTGCATCTTGTCAGATGTTTCTGTTTTTAAAACGGATATTGAAAAGCAAGAGAAGATGCAAAAGAGCACCACTCAAAGATTCAGGAGCTGGAGAAAATGTCCTACAGTATGAGATTTAAGGAAATCAGTCTAAGTGATCAAAAAGAAGACTGAGGTGTCCTGACTAGGGAGAAAAGACAAGATATTAAGTGACTCTTTAGTGGAGAAAGGCATAAAAAGGATCAACAGCTAAGAGCTGTAGCCTGTCAAATTCAAACTAGAAATAAGGCACTAATTTGTAAACATGAGGATGATTAGTCACTGTAACAAGGTAAGCAATACACTCTCCATCTATTCAGATGCACCTTTTTCTGGAAAATACAATTTAGCTAAGGCAGGTCATGCTTTAGTCCACTTACTGGTTCTGTGAAGCAACAACTTAGCTGGGTAAAATGTTAAAGGTTATGGCATGCAGTAGGTCAGACTGGACTGAATGGTTCAATGGTTCCTTCTAGTGTAAAATTTATTATTTTAATAGTTATTAAAGGAGTATCTGCCTGGTGCTGACGTTCCTAGGTTCAGCACCAGGATGAGTAGATGTGGTCGTGCCAGAGGTGCCATCATTTTAGCAAAAAAAAGAAAAGAAACCCCTTGAAGCATTTGAGTAACACATTTTTGTTGTCTAATTAGGCAAAAATTGAACAAAACGAAGGACTTCCGAGATGGAGACTAGTGGGTGCAGTTCCTGGTTAGTCCCCATGGCTGTTTTATACTTCTGTTCTCTGTTTATTTTCTATTTGGATAAACATCCTCTGGAGCTTCTGCTTCTTCTTAAAGATCCTGCTTACCATTGAGTACACTGTTGTGGGAGGGGGGATATAATTTTAGAGTAGCTCAGGATAGAAAGCTAGAGGGCTCACCTCAAACATGATTACAACTCTTTATTTCTCTATTTAATCCTTTTTTTAAAGTAGAAAAATAAGCCCTGACGAAATTCAACTTTTATTTTGTGAAACACAAAGGTAACTGCAACACACACAGAAGGATGGAACACGATCAGATAGTAAACCACGAAGAACCTCCCTCTATACAAGGGGAAATTAAGTTCTTAAGAGAGCTTTATTTTTCCTGCACAAATTGCTGGCAACTACAGCATTAAGTGCTTAAACTGAGGTTTTAAATCCTAAAAATTAGGAATCTCAAGAAAATGATGAGGCTTGTCATATTAATGACAATACCTTATTCTATTCACTTCTCAGGTAAGATTTTTGTCTGATTTTTTTCATGCTTGAAATTGATTAGAAAGGCAGCATTAAACCTTAAGACAAGTAATAAAAGTAAAATGAAAGTGTCATTTGTTGACTCTTAAATTAAAATACATTTTCTTTACCATTATTGCTACCATTTACTTGTTGTTTTATGGAATGTATTATAATATAAAAGAAAGGTAGCCTAAAAAGGTAATGATATAAAAAGAATTAATTTAAAATGCAGTAAAAATAAAGGACTAATATTAGTAAATCCACCTGAAGTGTGTTATTTGATATGTGTTAGGTAATTAAACCACTTTTTTGTAGCCTTCAAACAACTGCTATATTTCTCTTGTATGTTTTAGTGTAGTGGTCAACAACGTTTTTAGGCAGAATGCCAAAAACACCTGCAACCTTAACTTGTAAGAGGCTAGTGTGCCAGAGACAGACAATGGGGGAGCCACAATGCTTGTTATGGCAACACAGCCCCTTCACTGTTGTCTGCCCCATGGCACACATGCCAAGCAAAATGCCTTTGCATGCCAGGCTCTGGCACCTGCACTGGGGTTTGCCTACCCCTGTTTCAGTGCATGATCAAAAAGTACAGCATGAATTTTCACAGTTCACTATTGCTAGTAAACAGTTTGGACATTCACCAAATGACCTATTTTTCTAAGTGAATTAATTTGAAATAGGTTAGTAAACTGGAATATCATTAAAATGTTATGCATTTATTTTTTGCACATAGCATGTTTTTTATTTAAATTCATGGGCAAGGTGAGGCATTGTGAATGATCAGCTAGAATTTTATTTTTGTTTTAAAATGTTGGACTTCAAGAGGAGAATGGAGTCTCTTTCAAAGGTAACACAGTAGATAGCAATTCCAGACGTGTATTTGGAAGGGTACATGGGGGTAAAAAGAAGGTACCAAGTAATGTGGGACTGCTGCAGGACATGCTTGGTAATCTGGTGGTAGCACCAGATGACAAAGCTAATCTCTTTAACAGATTCTTTGCTTCCATTTTTCTGAGGAGGGACAGGGACATCCCCCACACTGGGATTCCGGACGGACCCAGGGGAGGTGCAGCCAGGCCCGGGGTCAGTGAGGACCTAGTCAGGGAACTTGTAGAGGAACTAGACATGTTCAAATCAGCAGGTCCTGATGATCTCCACCCCAGAGTGCTTAGGGAGTTGGCAGAGGTCTTTGATGGACCCCTGACACAGCTTTACGAGCACTCGTGGTGCTCTGGTGAGGTGCCAGATGACTGGAAAAGGGCCAATGTGGTCCCCATATTCAAAAAAGGGAGGAAAGATGACCCAGGAAACTATAGGCCCATTAGTCTTACCTCGGTCTTGGGGAAGCTCTTTGATAAAATTATCCAGGAGCACATCTGCAAGGGGCTAGCAGGGGAGTGTATGCTTAGGGGCAATCAACATGGGTTCATTAGAGGCAGGTCCTGTCAGACCAACCTGGTGGCCTTCTATGACCAGGTCACAAAAGCCTTGGATGCAGGTGTCACGGTGGATGTAGTCTTTCTGGACTTTAGGAAGACCTTTGACACGGTCTCTCACTCTATCCTCATTAAAAAATTAGGTGTCTGTGGTGTCGATGCCTACAGTCAGATGGGTCACAAATTGGCTGGAGGGCCACACCCAGAGAGTGGTGGTGGATGGGTCATTATCCATCTGGAGAGATGTGGGCAGTGGGTTCCCCAGGGTTCGGTCCTCGGGCCCGCACTGTTCAATATCTTCATCGGCAATTTGGAAAAGGGCATGAAAAGCACCTTATCCAAGTTCGCAGATGACACCAACGTGTGGGAGAAGTGAGCACACTAGAAGAGAGGGACAGGGTACAACTAGATCTGGACAGGTTACAGAGGTGGGTGGATGAGAATAGGATGGGTTTCAATACAGACAAGTGCAAGGTGTTTCTAGATGACCCCAGCTAGATACTCATCTAACCTCCTCTTGAAGACCCCCAGGGTAGGGGAGAGCACCACCTCCCTTGGGAGCCCATTCCAGACCCTGGCCACTCTAACTCTGAAGAAGTTCTTCCTAATGTCCAATCTAAATCTGCTCTCTGCTAGCTTGTGGCCATTATTTCTTGTAACCCCCGGGTGCGCCTTGGTGAATAAATACTACTTTTCAGCACAGAGGCAGAAAAGGATCTTGGAGTCGCTATTGACTCCAACATGAACATGGGCTGCCAATGTGGGGATGCGGTCAGTAAGGCTAACCGCACCTTGTCATGCATCCATAGATACATCACGAGCAGGTCCAAGGAAGTGATCCTCCCCCTCTATGTGACATTGGTCAGGCTGCAGTTGGAGTACTGCATCCAGTTCTGGGCGTCACGCTTCAGGAGGGATGTGGATAGCATCAAGAGGGTCCAGAGGAGGGCCATTCCCATGATCAGGGGGCAGCAGGGCAGGCCCTACGAGGAGAGGCTAAGGGACCTGAACCTGTTCAGCCTCCACAAAAGAAGGCTGAGAGGGGATCTGGTGGCTGCCTATAAACTTGCCAAGGGGGACCAGCAGGCAAAGGCAGAGTCCCTGTTCCCCCAAGCACTACCAGGGGTAACAAGGAACAATGGCCATAAGTTGACTGATAGTAGGTTCAGGCTAGATATCAGGAGGCACTACTTCACAGTCAGGGCGGCTAGGAGCTGGAACCAACTTCCAAGGAAAGTGGTGCTCGCCCCTACCCTGGGGGTCTTCAAAAGGAGGCTAGACAGCCACCTAGCTGGGATCATTTGACCCCAGCAGGGGGTCGGACTTGATGATCTGCTTAGGTCCCTTCTGACCCTACCAACTATGAAATTATTTCTTGGTATAAAAATGTATTCAGGTGACTAGTACTTCAAATAAGTTTACCATTTGCAAACAACTACCACTAATCTTAAAAAAATAAGTCAGCCATTATAATTTGTTCTGCTACATTCTTCAAAATCATCCTTCCATTACAGTTAAGAAATATGGGATTTGTCCAGTTTTATTCTTTTTTACACTGAATATATAACTTCAGATATAAATCTAAAGGACAATTGCATTCCATTCCAAAGCAAATGAAGGATGTACATTTACAGGATGCAAATGCAAAACGCCTCCACAAAATACATCTCAGTACTATTTCAAAACACATACGCTTAGATGCTCAACTTCAAAGGAGTACAATTAAACATCTGAAATGGAGAAAATAGCATAGGTAACTTGCTACTTTGCTTCTGATCATTTTGGAAGCTGAGGAGTCATTTCAGTACTCAGAACAGTTACAGCACCAGAAGACTGCTCTAAACTACACTAACAAGATAGTCCAGTAGGGCTTTCTACAACTCCAGGAATGCGCAAGCATGGTGGTTTCTATCTATTTCCAATATATCCAATATATGATATATAACACTGCACCTACATTGCTGAAGAAAATGAAGGTAGCACAATCTGCTATGCTGATTTTTTTTTCTTGTACCTAGAGATTTTCCTAGGCAAATGGAATCTGAAGATATCCTGTAGTGTACTGTTTCTAGATGTATTGCACTGCTTGATACCAAAGAAGTTTCTTAAAGTAGAAAACTGTGTTATTAAAATAAATTATCTTATTTGAATTCATATTCTTGGCTTTTTTGGTTGTCCCAGAGGTAGTATATAATCACGTCTGGCATACCCAGACATGTTGTGTAGTCATGCAGGCCTATGCACAATAAAACTGATTGCAAGTATCCCTCAGAGTATAAGCCTTCATTGCATATTGATTTAAGAGGCCTAAAAACTAAAAAATCTGGGATGCAATGCTGTGAGCTATTCAAGATGAACACTGATAAAAGCTACTGCTTCTATTGCCTAGATCATAGCTACATGTTTGTTGTTGTAAGTCCGAATTGCCATTTCATTGAAATATAGAAATTGTTATTAATAAAACAAAAAGGCACCACAATACCACTGCAATGTATGAGAAAATGTAATGCTAATTACTATAACCATCATCATGTTTTCTTGTTTCCCAGTTGTACTCTGCATTAGCAAGGATGGCAGAATCTGGCCATCAACAAATAAGGACATAGTTTCATATAACTATATGTATTAAGACAATGGTATACATTAATTATTAAGGCAGAAAGTAGAGCAGGGTGGCACCCTACAGACTAACTTGTTCAGAAATACGTAAGTTTTAGTAGGTGATAGCCTACTTTGTCAGACGCTATGAATGCACTGCAGAGAGCAGGGATGCTAAATAGAAGGGAGTAAAGTCATTTAAATGCACTTTAAATACAATGGATAGGACAAGGGGGAGGAAAAGATGGGGATGCTTCTGAGAGTGGGGAAGGTGGATTGAATCTCTCAAAGAGGACAAACAGAGCAGTTAACACATTGAGGGACACAATTTATCAAACTACCTTTGGTTCAAAATTTCACCACACATTTTCATGATCAAAACTCTTCTGTACCTTTGGGGTTTTATCACACACATTTATTGAGCTGACTCGGATTCTAACCTGGCCCATAATCTTAAAAACAGGCAAGTGTGGTTTCTTTGTACACCAATGTAAAGAATGTAACTTTTTACTATTATGCACCCACTTCGTTATTGTCTTACAGTGAGCAGTGGATCAGAACTTTCAGTCATACAATATCCTCAGGACATCAACGTCTCTCTTGATTCAACAGTTTTGATATTGTGTGAATTTGACTACCCAGCTAAAACTACAGTTGACACAGAGGTTTATTGGAGAAAAGGCCCAGACTGCAATCGGCCAGGCCTCAAACCAAGCCCAGGCATCTCTCATTTTCAAAAATCACAGGTGCAAATTACAAAGGAAACAACCAAAAGGTTTTCAATCTTAAAACTGAACAATGTTCAGCTGGATGATAGTAACATGTATTTCTGTGATGTGACACTAACTGATCCACCACCACCACAGAATAAATGTGGAAAAGGCACCAAGCTGACAGTACATGGTAAGGAGCATTGTGAGTCTCAGAAATGTATTTGGGTACATAGAAATCATCTAAATGTTTTTCTCTCGCAACTCAAAAATTCAGAACCAGGACGGGGGAGGGAGAAGACAATCTGCAGTATGTAGAGTTATGTGGAATAGTAATGCTATTTTCTCTTCTACCACAGGAAACATTTCTTTCTTTGTTTTGCATTTTCTGTATCTAATCTGGCTTAACTGTAGTTCAAAAAGCCTCCAGGCAAGCAATTTGTTCTCTTAGAACAGGGCATCTCACCCATGTCAGACCAGTAACTGTTTATTCAAAAATGAAACTTTGTCACTTGCCTTAAATATACTTGCATTTACTCTAAAACATATATTGATGACAGCCAGGATGGGTGTATCCCCACGTGCAGGGATGTGCGGTTGCTGAGGCAAAAAGAGCAGTGGCACAAATTTGTGCTACTGCTTTTGGTTGCTGCACATGCCCCTGCATGTGGAATTGGTGCAGGGCAAATTGTCCCAGGTCGGGTAGAGAAAGCTGGGGCCAGCATCTGTCTTGGCTCCATCAGCCTTACTTGGCATCCTGGGGGCCTCCTGAGGCAGCAGTGGGTGTGATTCAGTCCCTTGGAGCCTAGCTTTTTTTGGTGACTTTTCTTTTTTTAACACCAGAGTCTCTTAGTCTCAGAAAAACTTGCTGTGATGCAAATTAGCAGTGCGGCAAACAGATGCACATACACTACATGCAGTTTGCAGCACCTCAAATGGGTTTGTGGTGCGGCAGACTCATCTGTGGCACTACAAACCGCACGCGCTGAACACACAGGTGTTTGCTTCACTGCTAATTTGCAGTGCAGCAGGTTTGTTTTGACACTAGGAGATCCCTGTGGAGGCTGCTGGAGATCTTCAAGGCTGCTGGAGATCCCGGTGTCAAAATTCCTGCTTCTGAAAAAAGCAGGACAGAGCACGTGGCAGCAGTGTGTGCTGCCCAAAACTGGAGCCTGGCCAGCCAGAGCCATGCTCCAGCTGTTGGCTAGGCTCTCCATGCTGGATCGCTGCTGCAGGAGCCCCAGGAGGCCCTCAGGACAGGCTGCTGGGGCCAGGTCAGGTGCCAGCCCCAGCCTTCTCTACCCCACCTGGGGCAACTTGCCGTGGGCCAGAGCACACATACACAGGCATTCCCCAGGGACAAGCAACAGAGATACAACTATGTACAGCTGCTATTTGTTCCCGGGGAAACATACGTGCATGCTCACCTGAACACACCCAATAAGTCTGTTTTTTGTGTTTCAGGAGGTTGAACTTGAGAGTTTAAAGATATGTGATAAATAAGAATTTCTGGGTGGCAGATTACAGTAAGATTTTCAGTTACTCACAACCCTCCTGTGAGAGCATGACTCACTGGTTGAAAAACACTCTCTTACGTGGTGAGTGGTCCTTCACCCATCTGGACTTGCCAGACAAATCTGCCTGGAAAAAAGGCTAGATGATGCTAGGCATCATCCAAATACTTGATTACCAATTATACCCAGCAGACACTTCAACTGCAACTTATCGAAGCCACAGCAACTTCTGATGAGTGGTGAGATTAAGCCTCCTGAATTTCACAGCATCATTAGATTACATTTATTTCTTAAGAAAGAAATTGCTTGAACTTTAATGAAGTGTCAGTTGCCATGTAAACTGGATGTCTTCTTTAGGATAGTAGTTTGTTGCAAGTAACAAGAGATGTTCAGAGTTCCCACAACTAATGAACTAAGACCTGTTAGTTTTCTGTCCCTTTTATTAATAAGCTTTATCAGATACATACATTTCAGTTTTGAAGTGAAACTCTTCATAACTCAGTAAAATGAGTCTGCGATTCCCCCAGGAAAGACTCATCTTCTTAGCCTGAAAAAAAAATAGTGAAAGAGGGGTGATGAATGTAAATGGAAAAGCAGGTAGGCTAATTGTCCAATACCCTCTAATCCCTCAGATAAAAAATACATCTGACTAATAAACAGCAAACAATTTTTTGCTTTTTAGATAATTTAACTGTTCATCTCTTTATTTCAGGGCCTACATGTCATGATAGCAGATCAGATAAAAATATTTGGATGTGGCTGCTTCTTCTTGGATACAGCATTAGCGTCACCATGATTATAATAGGTTTCCTTGTAAGTAATTATTTAGAGGGTAAATATCACAACACTTCTATAGTCTGGGGTACTTCTGGTGGAAAAAGGAGAGTACGTTTGAACCAGGAGCACATGTGTGAGCAGGTATAAAGGCATTCCTTAACCTCTATCACCTAAAGGGTCACAATTAAAACCCAGACTCCCTGCCCATGACAGTGCAGATCTGTGTGAGGCTTTCAAAGAAAAGTAGAAGTTGTAGCAGGGCAGATTACCTAGGAGAACAGTATGGTATGTTCCTTCCAAGCTTGCTGAAAAATAGGAAATCATTTGTTGGTTGCTACCAAATATTCTGTGTTTCTCTGATCCCATTTTGGAAAGTAATTGAAACTTCAGTAGAGTTCTGGCTTTAATGGAATTCTTCAGCTAGTGTACTTGCTTGCTGGTTCATAGCATGGTATATTGACGCTTCATAAAATATGTTCCATTTATCCCAGCCGATGCCAAGTGTCTGGGCCTGACTTTTTTCTTTCTGTGCTCCACCAGTTGGCTGCATTGGTGTGCTGGCAACTGATCCACTGGCCTGACTAATTGTGACTCTTCTTCCAGTATATTTAAAATCAAAACAAAACAAAATCCAGACATCCTTGCCCTTCATTCCTCAGTTCTTCCATAGGTTACAGAAATTTTCAGTCACTAGTTGGCACTGTGAGGGTCCCAGGGCATGTGTAGATGAAACAGGGGCCCTAAATTGAAGCGGTGGGTTTTAAAAAACACCACTTCAATGTGGGGCTAATTAAACCCCATGTCATGCGCACACCCCAGTGACTTACCTGTCTCTCTGGTGGGGAAAGGAGAGCGAGCTGCCGGTGGGCGAGTGCTCCCTGGGCTGCAGAGGGTCTGGTGTTTCCCTCTGTGGCAGCAGCACTGCGCCCCCCGCCTGCAGGAGGCACCCACCTGCAGGCACCCAGCTTGGGAGGTCCCAGGGAGCACTGCAGCTTTCCCAGGCTGCTTCCAGGCTGCCTGCATGGCTTCCTGCAGAGCCCCTGAGCTGCATAGAGCCTGGTGCTTTGCTCTTCAGCTGTAGGGACAGCAGACTGTGCCCCAAGTCATTTAAAGCGCATTATGCCACCAAATTTCCTGCAGTGGCTGGAATTAATGTGCAATACTCTGCCAAGGTGTGCAAACACCACCACCATTAAAGTGGTGCAAAAGCATTTAGCCCACTTGAAAGTGTTGTGCACACACCTCTCTCATTTCATCTACACACAGCCCCAGTTCCTAAGCCTTTCTTCTATTCCATGCTCCCAAGACTGAAGACCTTACTCATGCACTAGCTACACAACCCCTCTGCTTTCCTTGTCCATATACCTCTTTCAATTCTGTTCCCTCTCTTTAAATCTTCTCATATCCTATTGTAGCAACCTTCCCTAAAACACTTGTCTCCGTGCTATGTACAAGGGAACAATCATAGTCTTGGCCCTGATCATTGTTCCTCAGAGAGCTTTACCTGCCAGGTACAGCTCTCACCAGTGAGGCAGAAAACTCCCATTTTAATCCTGCTTCTCTCTTCTCTGTTCACATTTCTTTTGCAGTCATGAGATCTCACTAAAGAATACAGTTAACAACGTCAGTCTTTGAAGGGAAAAAAACATGGAGTGGGGTTGTACTGGTCTTGTGCCTGACCTGAAAGAGTCCAGACACCTAATGATCCTCCCTGATTGTACACCTCTTCTGCATGTCCCATACCTCTCTTTTCAAACTTCTTTCAATGACTAAACTTCGTACCAGAAAAAAAGAAGGGGTCTTTGTAGGACCTAAATGATTTCTCTCTGCAAACAACATAGATAAAACAAAAGGTTTTGCAGCAAACCTTGAAAGTAAACAAACGGACTGCTTTGGGCAAAAAGGTAGTAAGTTCCAAATGTAAAACACCCTTATGCCAGCAACTCTCTCTCATATTACTTATTTGCTCTGGAGTTTTTTTGTGTGCAGCAGTGCATGTGTAGATGCTGGCTGGGGCACAGGGTGCTTCAGTGCAGGACTAGCAGGCAGGCAGCCCCTGTACTGAGACCCCCTGTGCCCCAGCCAGCACCCCCGACCCTTTGCAGCATATGGAGATGGGGTGGGGGGAGAGCAGCTGCTCCCTCCATCTCCATGTGCTACTGAGCAGCTGCCTGGGGTGCAGGATGCCCTAGAGCCTGCCAGCTAGCCCCACACTGAAGCACCCTGTGCCCCAGTGCAGCATCTATACATGTGCTGCTGCACACACACAAAAAACCCTGCACAGAAGGTAGTACTTGTATTTTACAAGACTACCGTGCTGCAGAGGTTTAGTTTCATGTGCCATAAGGGGGGCTCATGTGTAGACACCAAGACGTTTACTGTGTAGTTAATTAGTCAACAGTAAACATCTCATGTAGATGTGCCCAGTGGGAGCAGAGAGAGAAATAACTGCTGTAAAAAAGTCATTGGTTTGATCTAATTGTGACTGTACACAGTTGTGTGTGGTGTGTGTGTTTTGTTTTCAGTTGACTATTGTTGCCATGAAGCCACCTCATAGCAACACTTTCTACCAAGATGAATAGCAATAGCAGAAAAATCTATGCTCAGTTCTGAAGTACAGTGGTTAACAGCCGTAACCCACCAAAATATCGCTTTTACTCAGAAATCTATGCTGAAGTTATAAAGGAGCTTTAAGTTTTAAAAGAGCTAATTTAGACACTACACTCCTCATTTTAAAGACAGTATCATTGACTGGAGTAATTCATGATATTAGAATTAAGACAGAAGAACAGTGAACTGGAGAAAGCATTTGAAACTTTAAAAAGTTGTTTCTTTACTGAATGGTAAATGTTGTATTTCATGCCAGGCAAATATATGTACTTATGATTGTGCTGTTGCTGACCTGTGTATGACACAGATATGAAGTCTCAGGGTGAAACCCGTTGCATTCCAGTACCACCCAGTCTCCTAAAGCTAGTCTTTTTTATTCTTATTCAGATATCCTCGCTCCCATTTTGTCTCTCTGTCTGTCCTGGAAGAACAAGCTATTATTCTGGCCAGTATGTTAATTGCCAAAACACCAAAGGAACCAATTGCTGGAGCAAAACATGAAAAAGACACAGCCCCTTAAATACTGCTTGGATAAACTGATCCTATTAAAGGAACACATAGTGTAAAGATAAGAATACAGGTTTAAAGGATGAAATATTTAGGATTACAGTATTTAGCATATTGTTTTAATTGAATTTAAATTAATTAATTTCATTGACCCCCCCACCCAAATCAATGACTGTTTTCAATATTACCATGAAGAATAGCTTTTTGTCATGTATAAAAGCTATTAGTTGCAGTAAATAATTTTGCACACTTCATTCTGTGGTGTTCATGGGAAATTATACATAGTCCAGAAATAACTCTTGGGAAGCCAGCATTCTTAAATTAGGTAAATGTTCTCTAAGCATTAGTGTGTTTGACTAAAAGTGTTTTCTTATCAATATGCTTTGTGGAATATTGAAACAGATTCATCAGTGCTGTAAAAAGTTCAGGATCAACTCAAGAACCACAGACGGCAGCACTACATTGCCAAGTGAATGGACTTATGACAAACCAGCCAGAACTGTTAATAATGGATTTAATCAAGAATATGAAGATATGACACTAATAAGGTCTTTTACTCATAATGGACACATGATGAAATGAAAAAGAAATGTATATACAGTAGTCATAACATTAGCCTGTATAGTGATGAATACTTTATTCTACCCAGTAGAAAAGTGGTTAAGTTAGAATTGCCAAGTGTTCAAGTAACTCTTCTATCAACACATTAATAAAAAAACAAAGGAATGACTATGTTGAACAACATGAACATACATGCTGGCCTCACTTTATCTCTGTTACAAGTGACAACCGTCTCTTGGAATGCCTCCTGATTTCCTTTCCTTTCCTTGATAAAGCCAAAAACAGAATGATGATCCAATTCCTCATATGCAAAAAAGTCCAGCCTAAATTCTGATTTTGGTTAGATTCAGACATCCACACACATTTTGGTTATTTGTGCGTTATGATGACAGAGGGAAGACTGAGTTGTAATTGAGAGGAATTCTCTACACCTAACCCTAACACATTACTTCGCCCCTCCTGTTTGTGCCCCTGGTTGTCTTTCTAATCTCTCCCAGTCTCTGAAACCTGCAATCTCCCTTTACAGATTTTCCAACAAAATGAAAAAGTAGATTATAAAAATAATAATTTCAGAGGGAAAAACACTGTTCCTATTTAACAACTACTGGAAACATACTGATGTGCAGACAATATATATGAAAAAACACATGGTCTTATTACTTTGTCTCACTTTTGTCTCATCTTCCAAGTTCCTTCATATCTATTCGTGTGTTGTTTCTAAAATTTAAGTGTAAACTCTTTAAGCAGAGACAATGGCTTTAGAAAAAAAGTGCCAGCAGACTTTTGGAGTCTACGTTAAAATAATCAAGCGAGGTGACATGGGAAGAGCTTACCTTAATTTGCATGGTAATGAAGTACTCCTTGAGGTAGCTTCACAATGGAATGGGTAATGGTCACTTATGCAAGACTTGGAGCAAACTAATATTACTTAAGTTGCCAGGAAAGGAAGAGGTTTTTGCATAAATTGATATCCAAAACTGTCGACATTGTTCTCTAGAGTGCTTCCTTTTTAATAAACTCTCAAGGCCCTGAGATCTCTGTTCAGGGTGAAAAATTAAATAATTCCTTACCAAGCCACCTATCCTACGATTTTGCAATATTCTGTAACGTTAAGTTTAATGTTATCTTAGCAACGCTTTCTGTGGTACTTTTCTAGGAAGTTACATGTTTATCTGGAAATGATAGTATCATAGATACCATCATAGGTTGTAAGGAATATCTGAAGGTCATATAGTCCAACCTCCTGCTCAAAGTAGGACCATCCCCAATTATATTATCCCTTTTCTCTATGTGTAAAGTTGCTATTAAAAAACATTTCAATTTATGTCAAATTGCATTAAAGTACCTGACTTTTTTTTTGGAAGCGGCTAGATGATACACATGAAGGAAACGAAACTCTGACTTTGGGGAAGGGGTTGCAGGGGTGGGCAGGAAAAGAGAGAGAGAGGCCTGTGTATTGAGTAACCAATACACTGAGGCACCCAAAAACCTTACTTTCTCCAAACAAGTGCTAGGAGAGTCACAAGAGATCACATTTTTAAATTTGGGTGCCTGGTATTAAATAATGAGATTTAAGCTCTTGCCTGAATTGGGTCTTGAATTCATCTGCACAGTGGGTAGCTTATATTTCCAAATGGCAGTAATTGTACCTATGGTTGTGGGATCAAAAAAAGGAAGGTCAAATAAAGGAAGTAAGCAAGTGGATTCTACAGCAAAGAGCACTAGCAGCACATTAATTCATTTCACCCCACAAGGTGTGTACAGAGAGATTATAGTAGCATCTGACAAAGCAGGCAGTAGCTTTCAAAAGTTCATGCCTCTCTGAACGAGTTGGTCTATAATGTGCCACCCACCTTGCCTCCAAGCTGTGTAGAACTGCAGAGAACTCAGCCACTTGAGAAGATTTGTTATTTATATTTTTTTAAGTCATGGGTATGGAAATTTTCTGAGAGAAACCTGACCTTGTGCGGGGTGCAGTTATTCCAAGCTAGCATGTTGCATGGGGTTAAACTTCATCCCAGAGGTATAACTAGGAGAGTCAGGGTTGGGGAGGTGCCATTTGGCACCAGAGGGATGGGGTTCAGAAAGCAGGAAGCGCAGGAGTGTTACCAATACTAGGAACTCAAAACCAGCCCCTGGCTGCTGTTGCTGCTGGTGTTGCTGATGCTGTTGCCACCATTAAAGCTTCAGAGTGGCCTGTTCACTCCATCTGTTTCTCCTAGAGCAGCAATGTGGTGTCCATGTACTCAGGTTGCTGCTACTGCAAAAGCAACATCATGGAGCTACTGTTGCTGCCAAGGCACAGACTCCATGGGGCTGGGAGGTGATTCTGGAAGCCCTCCTAGGTTGGCATGCTGGGGCTGCTGTACCCTTCACCAACCCAAATTATGCTACTGCTTCATCCTTTAGGAAAAAAGATCAAGTTCAAAACAAGCTATCTTATAGGTGAAGAGACCAGCAGAGGCTGCCAAAAATCCTTGTGGTGACTAGGTAACTGTCAGATGTTATAAAAAAGGATAGCTATCTGTACTGAAACATTTTATATATTATATAAGTGGTGGTGGGGAGAGGGGGATGAAATATTAAATTTCTCAGTAAGACAAATTTCAATAAAAAGGTTATGGGTTGTAAGAACCACTTATTTACTTTCTGCATTCTGGGCATCATACAAAACCTGTGCAATTGAGCGCAAATGCACAAGAAAGAAATGCAGACTCTAATTCTGAATGTACCTATTCGTGTAAATAAGAATTTTAACTTAATTTTACCAGTTCAAACATGCAACAAACTGTGTCTGAGCAGGCTAGGTGTGACATTTGTAATGTGTCATTTTTATGATTAAAATGTGATCTCAAATTATTTCCATTTTACTTATTCAGGGTGATACCTTAGGGACATTTTAAAACAGTAGAACTAAGTCACCTTAAAACAGTGACTTCCATCACTTACAGCCACATAATGACCCCCCTTAGCCATATAGGTGAGCTTAGGTATGCTTAGTCAGACTGAAATCAATAGAACCATTTCTGTGAATGGGTAGTGGAAGTGTTACATTTAGATTGACCTAACTCCGCAGATGTTCAGAAGATTTTAATCACCTCAGAAGGTGCACTTAGACTGAGAATTGATTAACCCCTTCTTCCCTTCCTAGTTCAAATTAAACCTATATAGAAAATGCCTACACATTCACAGCACAGAGCCAGGGTTGGGAAAGCCCAGCCACTCACTCCAGCTCCAGGGCTGTGCTTTTCCTGCCCACCCCCAACTGGGCAACATACTCCCCATGGACCCACCATCCAATTTGACCCCTCAACCCCGTTATATATCCCAGGCCCTCCTGGACCTGCCAATCCTCCTCCCCAGGACTCCTAGTCCCCCTCAATCCTGCCACCCCCTCCACCCAGCCTGACTGACTTACCTTAGGCTCCCCACACTGCTCCTGGCAGCAGTAAATGACTGCACTCCTGGTTTAGGTTTAGGCAGCTTAAGTTAAATCACCTAAACCTAGACCAGGTATGGCAAATGCTTGCTTGCACCCAATAACTACTCACCAATAGGACTAAATGGGCTCACAATTTGATCCTTACTTAGGTTGCTATTAAACTGCAAGAAGGTCAAAGCTTGTAATATAAACTGGGTATGATCTGAGTTCAGTCATTACATTCAGGCCAGGTACAGACATTACACATAAACTGGTAAAAGTACTCGGAAACTAGTCTACACCCATAACTGAACAGAAGTCTACTGTACATAGACTGGTCTAAAAATGGCAGAATCTGGTCTAAGATAGACCTGGACCAATGTGGTACCAAACTTAAGTGATTTAGGTTAATCCAGTCTATTGAACTTCTGTACCAAATCCTCTAGTGACTCAAGTTAGGTCATAGTCCGCTGGTGTCCCAAGCACCTTTGAGAGTGCCTGCTCTCCCCTTTTCACATGGAGGCATATATGGAGCAGAGGTCCCAGCCACACTAGCCCCTCCAGCTGTGCTGGTTCAAGTCTGGGAGGGCCAAGGTGGGGGCCTCCACTCCCCCCCCCTCCCCCGCTGATAGCCAGCTGTTGGTGGCGGGGCGGGGTGCAGGGCTGGGAAAATGGGCCATGCTGGCCAGTCAGAGGTGGCTGGCTGCTCAGATGGGCTCAGCATTTTTAGCAGCCTGCTGGGAGGCATGGAGGAGTGCCCCCAACCTGCTAGCCTCAGCCAGTGCAGGCAGCCTGCATGCCCCCTACTATGAAAGGGTGAACATCTGTTCTGATAGCTCCTGAGCTAGCTTAGGGTGCTTAGGGTAAAGTGTGAAACTTAGATCGCTTCTGCCTCCGGCTTTTTGGAAGTCTGTACCTAGCCTTAGTCTCACTTGATCCTTAAGCTGACTTGCTTTATTTAATAGTTTTATATTTAGTAGTTTTATACCTTTGTTACTAAAGGCTCCTGTATTCAAAGTTTAAGCCAGTATGCACAGTTACAGGTCTACTTGTTATGAATAATATATACAATAGGAAGCTGTAAATTCTCTGGATTTGAATGACATTCTATTTAGCATCCAAAGAAATTAAAGTTTTTGCTTGGGGGAGACGTGGGACTCTGGTGTGGCTTACCTGTGAACCCATATGACCACTAGTACTGTCACATGATAAAGAGACAAGGAATTCTCACACATTCCTTATCTGAAGATATCTAAACTGTTGACATAACTGAACATGTTTATTTGACAGATCCTCCTGCATCCTCAGCTTCAAACTCTGGATGACAAAACCGAGTTCATCTAAAAAATCTGATCTCCATTACCACCAGTAACTCTCTCTTACCAGGCCCAGAAGGTGGCAAAGTCAGCATGATTGTTTGCGCCCACATCTCTCATGCCACACCAGTAAGATAGTTAGAACCTTGCCTCTGTGATGCAAAAAAAATCTACTTGCACAGCACAAAAAATCTACTTGGTCTTTGACCAATACTTGATCATTGCACACAGATTTTTTTATCCTCATTCCCAGAGGTCGTCACAGATCATCTGTCACATCTGTTTCACCTGTCCACATTCCACCCAATTGCAAAAATGAACCACCACCCATTTTCTTCCTTCACACCTCTTAGTGATTTCCCTGAGAAACACTCCTAAAAGCTTCTGTAGATCAGACGTCAAGATAAGAATTATATTTACAGTTATATTTCTAGTTTTCCTATTTTTATATTTATTAATTATTCCTACGTGTTGGAGATTTATTTTCCAGTCCAACAGACTGGAAGGCATGACATAAATTTATATTTATAGTGTTTTAGAGACAGTTTACTTTGGCTATGAATTATCCCATGTTTTAAGGAAAGGGACATAAAATAATAGAGTGAATCCTGTTGTGCAAAACATACACTGTAGGTAGATTATTAAAATGGAATGAGAAATCAGGATTTGAAAGTAAAACAAATTCTTTTAGTAACAGTAGTTCTTAACTGGAGTTGTATTTGAATGAAAAAGCTGAAGAAAACTGCTCAT